CTTACTTACTTACTTACTTACTTACTTACTTACTTACTTACTTACTTACTTACTTACTTACTTACTTACTTACTTACTTACTTACTTACTTACTTACTTACTTACTTACTTACTTACTTACTTACTTACTTACTTACTTACTTACTTACTTACTTACTTACTTACTTACTTACTTACTTACTTACTTACTTACTTACTTACTTACTTACTTACTTACTTACTTACTTACTTACTTACTTACTTACTTACTTACTTACTTACTTACTTACTTACTTACTTACTTACTTACTTACTTACTTACTTACTTACTACTTACTTACTTACTTACTTACTTACTTACTTACTACTTACTTACTTACTTACTTACTTACTACTTACTTACTTACTTACTTACTTACTTACTTACTTACTTACTTACTTACTTACTACTTACTTACTTACTTACTTACTTACTTACTTACTTACTTACTTACTTACTTACTTACTTACTTACTTACTTACTTACTTACTTACTTACTTACTTACTTACTTACTTACTTACTTACTTACTTACTTACTTACTTACTTACTACTTACTTACTTACTTACTTACTTACTTACTTACTTACTTACTTACTTACTTACTTACTTACTTACTTACTTACTTACTTACTTACTTACTTACTTACTTACTTACTTACTTACTTACTTACTTACTTACTTACTTACTTACTTACTTACTTATCTACTTGCTTACTTACTTATGACTGTTACTCCTCGTAAAGGAGTATAGACCGCATTTATATGTATACAGTATGCAAACTCTTGTTCCACTAACTATAGATATGAAAAACATAGAAGAAAATTTAACTAACATATCAACAATAATAATAATAACAATACAAAATAAACAACCTATATGTTGAAAGACGTTACTTTCTTTAAGATATAATTCAGTATAATAAAATAACTTTTATTGTTTCTATCAGTTGGTGTCGTTGTTTCTCTGTTTATCTCTCTCTCTCTCTCACTCACACACACACTTTGTGATAACAATTGATTTGATAATATTTATCTATATATTTACAAGCTTAGACATGAAACTATAACGACTGATGTAAATGTACTTCATATATATATATACAATTATGAGGATTGATTACGAAGAGAGGTTAGATTCATAGATAGATAGATAGATAGATAGGGATGTAGGTAGGTAGGTAGGTAGGTAGGTAGGTGAGTAGATAAATAAGTAAAATCTAATGCTAAATTTAACATTGTGAGAATTCACAGTAGGACTATGTACACATGCATATATGTATACATCTCTTTATTATTTTCTATATTGATAGAAGTACATATGAAAATAAATAAAACAGATTTATTTTCATCGTCAACATTTTGATTCTTGTCACTAATACCTTTATGTTTAATGTAGCAACTTAAAATCTTCTGATTATATATATGTAAAGATGTTGTCCAGTCTCAACATGTCGATAACATGTTTCGAAATTTGTCAACTATTCATGTAAATAATGTGTATACATATGTAGAGAATCATCTAAGAACAGTGATATATCTATCTATCTATCTATCTATCTATCTATCTATCTATCTATCTATCTATCTATCTATCTATCTATCTATCTATCTATCTATCTATCTATCTATCTATCTATCTATCTATCTATCTATCTATCTATCTATCTATCTATCTATCTATCTATCTATCTATCTATCTATCTATCTATCTATCTATCTATCTATCTATCTATCTATCTATCTATCTATCTATCTATCTATCTATCTATCTATCTATCTATCTATCTATCTATCTATCTATCTATCTATCTATCATCTATCTATCTATCTATCTATCTATCTATCTATCTATCTATCTATCTATCTATCTATCTATCTATCTATCTATCTATCTATCTATCTATCTATCTATCTATCTATCTATCTATCTATCTATCTATCTATCTATCTATCTATCTATCTATCTATCTATCTATCTATCTATCTATCTATCTATCTATCTATCTATCTATCTATCTATCTATCTATCTATCTATCTATCTATCTATCTATCTATCTATCTATCTATCTATCTATCTATCTATCTATCTATCTATCTATCTATCTATCTATCTATCTATCTATCTATCTATCTATCTATCTATCTATCTATCTATCTATCTATCTATCTATCTATCTATCTATCTATCTATCTATCTATCTATCTATCTATCTATCTATCTATCTATCTATCTATCTATCTATCTATCTATCTATCTATCTATCTATCTATCTATCTATCTATCTATCTATCTATCTATCTATCTATCTATCTATCTATCTATCTATCTATCTATCTATCTATCTATCTATCTATCTATCTATCTATCTATCTATCTATCTATCTATCTATCTATCTATCTATCTATCTATCTATCTATCTATCTATCTATCTATCTATCTATCTATCTATCTATCTATCTATCTATCTATCTATCTATCTATCTATCTATCTATCTATCTATCTATCTATCTATCTATCTATCTATCTATCTATCTATCTATCTATCTATCTATCTATCTATCTATCTATCTATCTATCTATCTATCTATCTATCTATCTATCTATCTATCTATCTATCTATCTATCTATCTATCTATCTATCTATCTATCTATCTATCTATATCTATCTATCTATCTATCTATCTATCTATCTATCTATCTATCTATCTATCTATCTATCTATCTATCTATCTATCTATCTATCTATCTATCTATCTATCTATCTATCTATCTATCTATCTATCTATCTATCTATCTATCTATCTATCTATCTATCTATCTATCTATCTATCTATCTATCTATCTATCTATCTATCTATCTATCTATCTATCTATCTATCTATCTATCTATCTATCTATCTATCTATCTATCTATCTATCTATCTATCTATCTATCTATCTATCTATCTATCTATCTATCTATCTATCTATCTATCTATCTATCTATCTATATCTATCTATCTATCTATCTATCTATCTATCTATCTATCTATCTATCTATCTATCTATCTATCTATCTATCTATCTATCTATCTATCTATCTCTATCTATCTATCTATCTATCTATCTATCTATCTATCTATCTATCTATCTATCTATCTATCTATCTATCTATCTATCTATCTATCTATCTATCTATCTATCTATCTATCTATCTATTTATCTATCTATCTATCTATCTATCTATCTATCTATCTATCTATCTATCTATCTATCTATCTATCTATCTATCTATCTATCTATCTATACGTATGTATATCATGGAATAATTAGTCTATACATTCAGTTATATATATAAACAGACCTAATTAAGTAAAGTTAACTTAATATTAAAAGCAGTTGAATTTGTAAGGATCTAATTGTCGTGATTGTTTAACTCTAGTCTTTAAATGTTATATGTAACTTAACTTAAGTTGTACTTTTAATGATAGAGTTCAAAAGTTCATTATTATTATTATTTAAAAAATCAATGAACAATTCAATATCTCTTTTACCGCTTACATTCAAGCATTTGATAGCTCATAGAAATTAATGTTCATTTATTCATTATATATTTTGATTGAAATCATGAATCAATTGAAGCTAGACCACTATAGAAAACCTGAAAGCACTCGACGGTCATGAGCAGTGGGGATAATCCGTGTCGGGTAGAAATAGGTGTCTACCTCAGTAAAATAGAAGATAGTCGCGCAATTTCGTGGATTGGTTGACATTAGACATTAACACCATTGGATGCCAGATCAATGATCTAGTGGTTAAGCGCCTGGAGCGAGACTGACAGATCGTGGGTTCGAATCTTGTGGGGTGGGGGATCGTGGATGCGCACTGCTGAGGAGTCCCAAAATAGGACGAAACGGCTGCCCAATGCTTCCGGGTTTTCCATGGTGGTCTACCAGGTAAGGATGGCAAATCGATTGATGAAGTAGTGAAACTTCATCAGTTGAGATGGCTGGGACACGTGTTACGTATCCCCAACGACCGACTGCCTCGACGTGCGATGTTCAGTGGTATAGGAGTATGTTGGAAGAAAGCTAGAGGCGGCCAGACCAAAACATGGCACAAGTCCACAAAGTCACTGACAAGTGGACTGAGTCATGTTGGTAGGTGTAGACTACCTGGTTGGGGACCGCGAGATGATAGCAACCGATGGTTAGAGACCTTGAGTAACATGGCTCAAAATCGTTTGTAATGGCGCAGGTGCATCCACTCTTTGTGTTCTCCCGAATTTCAATCTCCTTATTCCTCCTTGTCTTTTTTTCTCTTCCCAAATTTATTTAACTGTATTATACTCTTTAAATAACATCTTCAAACACTAATTTTCCCGATTACTGCTTATACTCTTATTACCTCTAGCACTACGGGATTTGAATCGACCACTGCATCTCTGTGCTAATGTGGTGTGGCAACTCGAACTGATGTACGTACGTATGAAGGTCTACGTTGTTACTGACTGACTGACTCTCCTGAACAGTAACATCAACCTAAACTTCAGGTAGAAATGAAGTATTTGCATTTCTCCATCAATGACTCATAGCTTGTCCTGTTGACTTAGATTTTGACTGATTATTTTTAACCTTAATCCTATTATTGTCCACACAGTTATTTTGACTACATCTTCCATTGATCTGAACCTTGGTCGTATACTAGTCCATAATTTTTCTGATTGCCTGATAGATTGGATCCATTCCAATGAGTTTGCCGAATGCTAATCAACCTGAATGATAAGCTTATAAAAATCCATGGTGTTCTTAGTATTCCATCTAGCTAGGATTTCAACATTTTTCCAGTCGGATATATGTTCACAGTAGTCCACATCCATCGACATAAAAGAAGGTATATCATGGCTTTTGATGACTAATTGATAAATTATGGACTAATATAGGACCAAGAAACAGATCAAAGGAAAATGCAATCAAAATAATGCTTACTTACTTACTTGCGCCTGTTACTCCCAATGGAGCATAGACAGCCGACCAGCATTCTCCAACCCACTCTGTCCTGGGCCTTCTTTGGTAATTCCATCCAATTCTTGTTCATTTTTCTCATGTCTATCTCCATTTCCCGGCGTAATGTGTTCTTTGGTCTTCCAAAATAATGGGGTAGAAAATAATAGGATAATTGTTAACAATAATCAGTCAAAATCTAAGTCAACAGGACAAGCTATGAGTCATTTATGGAGAAATGCAAATACTTCATTTTTACCTGAAGTTTGAGTTGGTGTTATTGTTCAGGAGAACAATGAAAGCTTAACAATTAAAGCATTCAACTCAAAGGACAAAACTGCAACAAAATCATCCATTTAAGTTACAAAGTATCCTTACTTACTTACTTACTTACGCCTGTTACTCTCAATGGAGCATAGGCCGCTGACCAGCATTCTCCAACCCACTCTGTCCTGAGCCTTCTTTTCTAGTTCCATCCAACTCTTGTTCATTTTTCTCATGTCTATCTCCATTTCTCGGCGTAATGTGTTCATTGGTCTTCCTCTTTTCCTTTGACCTTCAGGATTCCAAGTGAGGGCTTGTCTTGTGACACAGTTGGGTGCTTTCCTCAATGTGTGTCCTATCCACTTCCAGCGCTTCTTCCTGATTTCTTCCTCCACTGGGATCTGGTTTGTTCTCTCCCACAGTACGTTGTTGCTAATAGTGTCCGGCCAATGGATCTGAAGTATTTTGCGTAGACAATTGTTAATAAACACCTGTATTTTCTGGATGATGGATTTCGTAGTTCTCCAGGTTTCTGCCCCATACAGTAGAACTGTGTTGACATTTGTATTGAAAATCCTGACCTTCGTGTTGGTTGACAGTTGCTTTGAGTTCCAGATGTTCCTCAGTTGTAAATATGCTGCTCTTGCTTTACCGATCCGCGCCCTCACATCTGCATCAGATCCACCCTGTTCATCAATGATGCTGCCCAAATACGTAAAGGTTTTTACATCTTCCAAATCTTCTCCGTCAATTGTGATTGGATTGGTGCATTCTGTGTTTTATCGGAGAATCCTGCTTTTCCCTTTGTGTATATTGAGACCTACTGCTGCTGAGGCTGCTGCCACACTGTTCGTCTTCTCCTGCATCTGTTGTTGTGTTTGGGATAGAAGGGCCAGATCGTCTGCGAAGTCTAGATCATCCAACTGCATCTTAGATGTCCATTGTATCCCGCGCTTCCCTTCAGACGTTGACGTCTTCATGATCCAGTCGATCACCAGGAGAAAGAGAAAGGGTGAGAGTAAGCAACCTTGCCTAACACCGGTCTTCACTTTGAACGACTTTGTCAACTGTCCTCCATGCACGATTTTGCAGTGTAATCCATCATATACAAAGTATCCTAGTTTCCAATAGTTTCGAATTTAACAATTACTCTGTTATATCTTAACAATAAATTGTAACGTGAGTAAATTACAATTTTCCATCAATCTTAACTATGAATAAAATAAAGCAATATTTCGAACGTTTATGACCTCTTACTTACTACATCACTACTACTACTACTACTACTACTACTACTACTACTACTACTACTACTACTACTACTACTACTACTACTACTACTACTACTACTACTACTACTACTATACTACTACTACTACTACTACTACTACTACTACTACTACTACTACTACTACTACTACTACTACTACTACTACTACTACTACTACTACTACTACTACTACTACTACTACTACTACTACTACTACTACTACTACTACTACTACTACTACTACTACTACTACTACTACTACTACTACTACTACTACTACTACTACTACTACTACTACTACTACTACTACTACTACTATACTACTACTACTACTACTACTACTACTACTACTACTACTACTACTACTACTACTACTACTACTACTACTACTACTACTACTACTACTACTACTACTACTACTACTATACTACTACTACTACTACTACTACTACTACTACTACTACTACTACTACTACTACTACTACTACTACTACTACTACTACTACTACTACTACTACTACTACTACTACTACTACTACTACTACTACTACTACTACTACTACTATACTACTACTACTACTACTACTACTACTACTACTACTACTACTACTACTACTACTACTACTACTACTACTACTACTACTACTACTACTACTACTACTACTACTACTACTACTACTACTACTACTACTACTACTACTACTACTACTACTACTACTACTACTACTACTACTACTACTACTACTACTATACTACTACTATACTACTATACACTACTTACACTACTACTACTACTACTACTACTACTACTATACTACTACTACTACTACTACTACTACTACTACTACTACTACTACTACTACTACTACTACTACTACTACTACTACTACTACTACTACTACTACTACTACTACTACTACTACTACTACTACTACTACTACTACTACTACCATACATGATCATATATGTATTTTACCAATGCAATGACCTTTGGAGAAGTAATAAAATATATCATAAGTACTTTATATTTCACAAGTACATCAATGTAATAAGAAGTACTATACACAGGATCAATCATGAGTCCTTTTTTATGAAAAAAAAGAACATTTCTCTCAGGAACCTAATAAGACAAGTTTTTTGATTCATTTTCATGGTAGATTTTACAAGTTTATTCATGTTCTTAAGTATTGGTTTGCTAAATGTTTACATATAAAATCAACTGATTGTAATGCTGTGGGATAATAAATAGTTTGTAAGGTAAAATCAATTTTTCTTTTAAATAATAGAATTATATACAATGAGAATAATTGTGAACTTGGTAAATGAAATACGAATTAAATGGGGGGAAGGTGAAATTAACAACAGTGTTTTCAATGTTTAACTATTTTAATTTCTACTGAAAGCCTTCTACAGTTATTCCCGGTCCAAAGATCAAGTAGGGTAGGAGGGTTAGGGTTAGGGATAGTAACTGTACCTTACGGAAAATAAACTGCTAACCATAGAAATTTACTTACTGTCTTGGAAATTGGAAGGTCTTTACATAGAACAGCTATGATGCCTTATTATGAAAGCCGAGATTCCTTTCATTCAACAGTTGGTTGAGTTCTTCATATTAAAGTGTGATTTTTATTCAGTAATTCCATTTTAAGCCATAGTTTTTATTATATTTAAGTTTTTCCTCTATGATGTTAAATTATACTACATCGTATGTGTTCATAACGGATATTTATGGTTAATTCTATCATCTTGGAAGGAAATTTTTGGTGAGAATACATTATAAGATACAGCACTCACTCACTCACTAGATGAATGGTGTAAAGAATCCAAATGCTAGGTACGAGACGAAGTTTAATCTCAAACTCTTCATTCGTCCATACATAAATGGATACACCAAATCATCGAAATTTTTCATGGTTTACTGCTCAAAATAATAATATTCTATTACTTGTGATTTTCATTTTCTTGAGTTTTATTGCAATCATGAATCGATCTAAGTTAAGAAATCAACGAAAATCGGGAGGTAATAGATTGCCATTTCGCTCTAGTGTGAGACTCCTCATCAGTGCACAACGATGATCCCACCCTAGAAGATTCGGTCCCGCTCAAAAACCCTTAGTCTCTAGACCACTAACCCAGCATCCAACTGTGTTGATGCCTAACGTCAATCAATTCAAAATTTTGTGTAACCATTATCCATTGCATGAAGTGGCTAACTATCTCCCACTCCACACGATTAAACTCCACTAATCACGGCTTTTCAACAGAATTTCAAGGGTCAAATATTGAAGTTAATCACTAATGAGCACATGATAATAATGGACGTCCAGTGATTGCAAGTTTTCAATGATGATCTAACATTGATCAGTTCATAATTTTAATAAAACTCAACAGCTTTCACAACCCTATACTGATAATTTTCATTTTGCTGAATTTCCCACTAACTACTATGTTATAGCAACTATCGTACAAGCAATTTCGATTATGGTTAATTTTGGTCAAACACTTTTATTAACTTACTTAACAAACAATGTCATTTGAATGGTAACAATTCGCATATTTCTTTGTACCGTTATGATCACTTGAGCACATGATAAACTCTAGTTAAAATGTTGATTACTTAAATATCACTCGATGATTCATCCTCCTCCCCATGTATATATATGTACTCAAATCTTATTATTAGTCCTTGCTTTGTCTTTCTGCGCCCTTATGCAATTTGACTATTAATTTGCTTATGTATTTGCTTTCTTCTCCGTTTCATATTCGTTCAATGTGTTTGATCTGCTCTATCCTCTAATAAACTGTATTTGCCGCTTCTTATTACCTTCTAATTTCAAACACCATTCAGATTTATATTATAACAGTTATTGAGGCTGGTCGATTAACGAAGCAAAGCTACTACATTGTGCACAAGGTTTACCAGTGAATAACGAATACTGATCGATTGATTAAGAGAAAGAAAAGAAAAGAAAAGAAAACTAAACAACAATGAATCTCTAATCAACTAATCAAATGAATTGAAACTAACAACAACCGATGATAATGAATCCATTGAAAAAATAAACGACTACCATAAAAGAATGTAAACAACTGTTTTATTTATTAAACTTTGATTTATGATTTCTTCAGTCAATAATGATTATCTTCATATGAGATTGAAATCACAGACAACAGTAGTAGCAATAGTAATGAGTGTAGTATGAGTATCATTAAGAGAAGTAATAGTAGTGATAAAATAGTAGCAGTAGCAGTAGTAGTTAAAGTCAATGTGAAATTCAACTTCTAGTAGCATTATTTGTTTATCCTAATCATTGATACTGTATCCGCTTAATCTGTGAAGCTTATTAATCGCTTGTTTGCTTGTTTGTTTGTTTGTTTCTTCTTTCCAAACTGTTGAGTGATTTATTTATCCGTCTATTTATTTACTTATCTGCTTATTTTATACGTATTATAAGATGATAAATATCGCGTCGTAATTAATACCATATATATATATAGGGATATCGTCGATAATTATTTGATGCATTAGGATATCTGCAATTCGGTATACAACGGATATCGGAATAGTTTTGTAGACTATACAAAAAACGGAAACAGATGATTTTATTCTTCATCTCTTTTTTGATCTCTATTTCTAATAATTGTATACAATTGTATATTTATAGTCGTGAATGATTGTACCCTACTCACTCACTCACACACACATCTATATATGTATAAACATGTATTCATATATCTGCTTATATACTTTTCTTGATAGATAGTGTATATAAACATTTGGCGCTTACAAATCATAGTACTATATATGTAGTGTTACGAATTAATAAATGAGGTAAATAGATTCTGTACACGTATAAACACGTTTATTTACACTGTATATTCGTGATATGAATGGGTCGTTTAGATGAACATATATATCGATTAAGATGAATACTGATACCCCCGATAACACTAAACATATCCTATTTATTTTGGTGAAGTTTTGTTCTCTAAGCTGGATAGTTTGGTGATGAAGCTTTCATCGTTCTTCTGAACAACATTATCAACACAAACTTCAGATAGAAGTGAAGTGTTTGAATTTCTACACATGTGGTTCACAGTTTGTCCTGTACACCTCAATGTTGATTGGTTCTTGTTGAACTTACACTTATCATTGCTTATTTCTTTGTTTTAGTTGTATCTCTTATTGGTTTGATTTTTGTGCCTATGTTAGTGCATAATTTTCAGAGAACAGAGCTCCGTCAAAATCATCCATCTGAGCTACAAATATTCTGCACCATCTTAAAATGATGCTTCTTATTTTAATTTCAATAGTTGAGATCATTAGTTAATCGAAACTAGACAACCAAGAAAAAAACGGAAGCACTGTACGACTGTTTCGCCCTATTGTGGGACTCCTCAGCAGTGCACATCCATGATCCCGCCCTCGCGAGATTCGAATCCAGAACCTATCAGTCTCGCGCCAGGCGCTTAACCACTAGACCACTGGGCCGGACGGCATCTAACAGTGTTAATGTCTAACTCCAACTGTCTCACAAGAGACCCGATTGAACTCCACTGGTCACTGCTTGTCACTAGAACTTCAGGATATACCTCTTTAAGCCAGTTACTAGTGCGCATATGTTGATTAGTATCAGAAGGGGTTTTGTAGAGATTGCAGTAATTTCAATAGTTGAGATCATGAGTCAATTGAAGCTAGACCATCATGGAAAACCTGGAAGCACTGGACGTCCAGTCCTTATTCTGTCGGATATTGTTCTATCTCTTTCTTTTTATTATTAATATTATTATTACAAACATATTAGAAAACATCATGAAAAATCTAATTAAAGAACGTTAGTGTTTTTTTTAATCAATCATGATGCTTCGATTATTGAAAACATAAATAACATAAATACCAGCTAATTATAAATAAATAACATACATTGATTGATCCCATCCTAGTTAGTTTCTTTCCTAAACAGACCGATCTATAGAAATAATGCAATGCTAATCATTTTATATCTAATAAGATGAAGCTACTTTATAAAACTAATGTATAGTGTATATGCATATGTATGTATGAAGTGGATTGTTGTGTTCTTTCCGACTACATTTATCTTATTTTTAACATCAAAACATTCTTTTACATTGATCTACTATTATACCGTAGATGTTTGGTTATAAATGATAAACAACATGTAAGATTATCCGAAATTTTTGACAGATCAATGAAAATAAATGAAGTATTTAATGATTAGACTATAAAAATAAAGATAAAAACATGCTGTTCTATGTATAGACAATGAATGAAGTTGATGATCATAAGATTGAATTTGATTAATTTACACCCATGATAAGAGTTATTTACAATGGCCTGATTGAAGATCTGGGCTATATATTCCTATCATCAAAATATTTCAGTAAACTGAAATCATGAGTCAATTGAAGCTAGACCACCATGGAAAACCTGGAAGCACTGGACGGCCGTTTCGTCCTATTGTGCAACTCCTCAGCAGTGCGCATCCACGAACCCGCCCCCCACGAGATTCGAACCCAGGACTTATCAGTCTCACGTGCAAGCACTTAACCATTAGACCACTGAGCCGGCCGGCATTCAACGGTGTTAATGTTTAACTTCAACTAATCCACGAAATTGAACGACACATTAATACTAGGACGAAACGGCCGTCCAGTACTTCCAGGTTTTCCATGATGGTCTGGCTTCAGTTGACTGAAGATTTCAATCTGTGAAAATTCTGAAATCTCCACAAACCCCTTCTGATATTACAATAAAATTATCATGTATGAGATTGATAGGTCCTGGGTTCGAATCTCATGAGGTGGGTTTGTGAATGCGCATTGCTTAAGAGTCCCATAATAGGACAAAACAGTCATTCAGTGCTTTCAGGTTTTCTATAGTGATCTAGGTTCAGTAGACTCATGATCTTAGCTATTAAAATTATGGTTTGTTGTTTGTTTTAACACATCAATTCTGTTTTCTAATAGTATAACCTATTCAGGCGCGTATATAAAAGGTTTACGATCTATAGTTTTAAAAAATACAAAACAATTCCATCAGAGGCATAGCAGTCACTG